TATTGTCGTTCATTTAAGCTGGAGTTGCTTTCCAAATGCTTTTGGACTTGGGCTGGGTGAGGGAACGGTGTCTCTTCTTCTCCTCTTATTCTTTAATAAAGCTGCTACTTTCAATATGTGCACATGATATGCAGGAATATATCTTACTTGACATAGAACTGTTTCACTCAGCTTGCTTTTAGCTTTCATATCTGAAGATATAACCTGAAAGTGCTTCGGCACGGATTGATATAAAAGACAATGAGACATGAAAGGCAATCAGGTAAATAAGAATTTTCTTATTTACTAATTTTTATAGTGCCTATTGTTATGGCGGCTTGGGAAGGAAAAGGTAAGATTAAAACATAAATTAGATAAGCCATTTCCAGAGGAAAATCAGTTAGATATTCAAAACCGGAAAAAAAAAGTAAAACAAAACAAAAAAAAGCTTATGTCATCCTTAAAAGCTTAGATCTGAGCCTTGGAAGGCACTGAGTGCAAATAGCATCGTAGGAGGCCTCCCTGGAGAGCTGCGCTGCCTGTTAAAGGACTTTTCTAGCCCGCACAGTGGAGCACAGGTCAGAGGTACCCTCATATATGCAAATATGCCAGCACCAGAATAGGAAAAATCATAGCTGCAGAAGTGCAGTGCTGTGCCTGAAACTAAGAGCTCTCCAAAGACAGCTACAGCATATCTGCCCTGCAGAATTGTGCGGGATAGAAACCTTCCCAGTCTGATCCATATGGATCAAACTTTTTGGCTTTTAGGCCTAGAAGGCACAGTGTAGTACTACCATTAGGAGAGATCTGCTCAGGTCCTGTAGTCCAGTAAAATTAAAAATGAGCTATGTCAGACTAATAAGCCTCCTTGTTTCAGGCTCAGCATTGTTCCACTTTCAGGGCCCAAGCTGGTGTCTCTACATTGCACTGCCTTGCATTGTACCATGTAGATAAACTACCTTGTTTGGAAATAACAGAGGAAATTCTTTTTTGAGCTCCACCACATGATGCACACATACCCTCAGAGTAATCACATGTGACAGTGGACAAGGGACAGTGGGAGTTTTCAGAATAGCTTTAACTGCTGTAATACAGCAGAAGACTCTGGTTTTTAGAGCCTGTATCTTGCCAGCATTTTGGAGATGTTTCCACCTAGAAAGGAAGGAAAACATTCTCTCAGGCTAAGCATGCTTCCAAGCTCTCTCATCTGGTTGTATGCTTCGCCTACATCTTGGGGCAAGATACGGACGTGCATTGATTTCCATGCCTCTTCCTCAGTGCTCTGGTTTCTATGGTGAGGAAACCTGGTGATAAAGGCCAGAAGTCATGTGAACTCAAGTCAGCTCCCTGACCTGGATGATCAGTGAGCAAGCTGTGAGGATGTCCGTACTACACACTCCCTGGCCAGTCTTATGCAGCCTCAGCTCACTAGGTCCTAGACAACATAGGACTTTGGAGAGCTTCACTAGCGCCTGAAGTGGCTCATTTATGCAAAAGAAAAAAAGAACCGATGTTCACTTATGATGGCCTGTCTCTGTGGGTAGCTAAACACTGTACCTGCTAGATGTCCTCCATGGAATTAACTCATAATTCTTAGAAAATTCAGTCAGTGGGCAGTCTAAATTCTCTAGCCTGGAGATGAGGAAAATATCTACACAATGTGGGCTAAATGAAAATAAATGATGTGTTTTGTCAACTGCATGGGGCGACAAGCACTACAGGGCTCTGCTGTTGTCCAAGGTGCAGTGAAATCCACTGGTTGTCAGACAAGCAAGCAAAGAAGGCTGTGAAGCCAGGTGTTTTCCTAGTTGTTGTTCTTCCTCCTTACAGCCTGTTTCCTAAATTATCAAGGATGTGGCCACAAAGAACCCAAATAGCTGTTTAGTAGTTAAAGTAAGAGTGGAAATGCATTAGCATGCTTGGGGACAGATTCCTGAAAATGGGCTAGGTTATTCTTGGGAGGATATTAGAGGAAAAAAATGGTAGAGCAGAGCTGCTCTACTTTAATCTGATGTATATTGTTCTGAGTTTATAGGCTACTGAGGTGCTCCAACAGTAAGATGCTTCTGCGCTGCCAAGAAGCCTAGAGATACCCTGGAGAGTTTTTTTGTGCTTCTTAAGGGTTTTCTCTCCAACTGCTTATGTCCTGGTGGTGCCACACACTTGGAAGTTACCACAGCACACCTCTCCAAAGAGAAGCATGTAGGCCTGCTATTGTCGTGTTTTAACAGCTCTTTAAGATTTGTTTTCTGGCTCTTGACAAAGTCATACCTACTATAAGGAAAGTAAAACTCATGTGCGCACAGGGCATGCCAAACATAGATGCTCCTAAGCAAAACTACAAGTAAGACTTGAACTCCCGTGGTTTATCTCAAGGCACCTACACCACCCAGGTTTTGCTGTGGATATAGGCAAAGTACGAGAATGCCAGTAGTGGCTGAAAACACGAAGCAGTGATGGCCCCACTGCCAGTAAGTGGGCCCTACTTTGCTTGCCATGCACTCTACCTCCTGCCTGTGCTGTGACCCATGGGGGGAAAAAGAGGGAAATGAGATCGCACTCT